GGGAAAAACATGTACTTGACCCAAATACAAAGCTGTCATAGCAAAGAGAATTTTAGGCAAATTCAAGAGTAATATACAAATACCTGAATTTGTTATGAATTAATCCCCAACTCAGCTATCAAAAAATGACTATCTTACTGAGGAATACTAAAGACAAACCTAATAAATCCTCAAAAACTGCATACTTTCTTCCATCCACAGTCAAAAGGGAGGAGGAAGCAGGAAAAAGAAAAGGGATAGAAAGACAGAAACCTGACTGAGATAGCAAAGCAAAAATATACCTAATATTGTAAGGAAAGAAAACTCCAAAAGCTGTATGTGCTGCAAAAAAAATCAATGATCTAAAATAATAACAAGATCTTCTTAACAAATGCCATTTTCCTACCCGTTACCATGATGCTCTTAACTGACAATGTCGAAGCTTCACCATGGCAACGGAAACTATCATCATAAAATGGTACAGTAAAAGAGATAGCTAGACCAAGAAGGTGTAGGGTCTCCTGGGAAGAGGTCTGCAGAGAGGCCCAGTGACTGGTTGTGCGGCTCAGTGTCAGGAATAATGGTTGTATGGCGGAAGGGGATGCCCGATGCCATTTTGAAAGTGATGATGCTGGCGATGAGCAAGGTATTCAGCATAACTCAAGGTCATCTTTTCACTACGGTACCTAAAAGAGAGTCAGGGAAGAGAAAAGATAATATCAAGAAACGGATGATATGCTATTATCGAGCTAGGAGGGCCCTGGGAGATCATTTTACATAGTAGAAAACAAGAAGCCCTGAGAGAAGCAGTTACTTGTTCAAGGTCACAAAGTTGGTAAGTAGCAAAGCTGAGATCAGAACACAGGAATCCAAACTCTGAGTCCAGTGCTGTTTTTTCTGCTCTACTGCTTGTTTACAGTGCTCCAGGAATGGCATTGCCCCTCTCACCCAATTTGGAGCAAGAAAGAACAGGGGAGAGCCAATCATTTACCATCGTGTATATATCTCCATCATGGATACATCTCATTCATTGGACCATTTTTCTTCAGAGATCTTCCATTTCTCCCTCCTTTACCATTCCTTTCTTTGTCCACACATGTTGGGTTGGGGTTTGTTATACTGGCACTGGAACCCTCTCCTTTGCCTGAGTCTAGTTGTCCTTCCATTGCCTTGCTTTTCTAGAGGAATCATAGTTTCTCCCTTCAGTCTTCTTCTTTTTCTATCCATTGCCCAGCATACCTTGGTTCTGCCACTGTTCTTTCATGGCTGTCAGAGGCTTCTTTGGATTCTCTTGGACCTTTCCATGATGGTCCCACTTACCACTTGCACAGATTCTTTGATAACAGCAATGTTTCCTCTACTATTTACCCGTTCTAATCCTATACTCCCCAAGTTGACATTTTTAGACAAGGTCTCTCTACATAGTCCTGGATGTCCTGGAACCTACTATACAGACCAAGCTGGCCTTCAAGTCATAGAGATCCACCTGCCTCTGCTTCCTGAATGCTGGGATGAAAGCACCACCATATGTGGCCTGGAGAATATTTTTTAAAACCCTCTAATGGCTATCAAATGTTTGTAGATTCAGGTTGAAATTTCTTAGTTTGGAATACCAAGCCCTTGCATGATCTGACTCAGTCTACCTTCTGGGCTGCATTTTCCCTTCATGACATTTCTTATGTGCACTGAAAGACCGGCCCAATCATAGTGCTTTGTATTCCTTAAAACTGGCTTCATACTTCGCCACCTACATGCTTTGATTCACAACACATCTTCAGGGAATCCCTTTCCGCCCTCGCTTTCTACCTGTCAAATAGTCTACCCATTTTTCAAGCCCAGCCCTAAATCCACCTCCTCTTTGAAGTCTTCTGTCACCCACTGACTTCCTGGAGTTCCTCTTCCCCAGCATTATGATCCTACACATCCATACTAGTCTGCCTTGGAGTAGTAATTATTTTTATTCATTCCCTTCTAGTCTCCTCAAACTATAAACTTGGGGAGAACAGAAATGGGGGCATTTTCAAATTTGTAACTATGCAGAGCTGAGAAAAATCCATTTTTAAACCACAGGCATATAAAGCAATTTTCTAGAATTGAAATGAATGGAAACAGTAACCCATTTTCCTAAAATGTTCGATACTTTCTTTCTTAAGTAAGTATCCCTATTATTCCATGATGAAATTTATTTAGCATTCAAGTTCAGCTCAATTGTGTTTTTCAATAAGCCTTCATAGTAGACTCCTATCACTGCCAAAATTCTAAGGTTAAATTTAAATTTTAGGACTGCTTATCAGAATCCTGGGGTTCTGCTAGGCAATGTCAAAAGCTAGTGAATAGCTAATTCTGGTATTTTCTCCAATAAGGTAGTTTAAAGTCTCAGGGGGTTGGTTGTATAAAGCCAGAATAATCACACAGAGCCAAAGATGGAAAGGATGGGCTAATATATCATGCAGTATTTACTGCCAAGCAGAGTTCTATTGTATCCACTCTCAGTATGGCCCTGCCATTTGTTTCCACTATTTTAGACAAGAGAAGCAAGTGCTGTTTGAGAGATCAAAGAAATCAAAGTTATAGGCATACACTTGGAAGTGTACTGGTTAGTCTTGTGCTACAAAATGCCATGGTACCTGGTCAGCTTTATGGTTTTCCTGAATTCATTAGTAATCGGAGCTTTGTATCCTCCTTTCCTCAGTAAGGAATCTATGGTCTGAATATGGTCCCATCCTGTGGGGAGACAATGAGACAAAATATCAGTCAAGCACGTATCACAAAGCACCACTGGTTAAATACAAAAATGACTCTGTAGAGGTCAGCTATCACTGTGACCAAATGCCATCAACTCCTTTGGTCCTAAACAAAGTCATACAGAAGAGCTATGATTTTATCCTTGTATAGAAGCAGGTTCATCACCACATGCCTTAAATTGTCTAAGAAACCGTTCAGTCATATCTCTGTAACAAATGTGCTCTTCTTTAATGGTCATACCTTCAAAAGGGAGAGAAAGCCTAAATAAATAAAACATGACTTGTGTTAACTCAGTAGTATTTGGGGCTCCCATGGCTATTTCATGGTGATTGCTGGTCTTAATGGTATTTTCTATGCTCAATAATCTATACTTATGTGAAACATTCAAGGGTATTTAATTGTTTCTGATATGAATGCTATTCTAATATCCTTATGAAGTCAATGATTCTGCAGTATTAAGACATTTTCTAAAGCAATCCAAACAAATCTTCACATAACTGCCTTAAAGATTAACATCTCATTTGAGGATTAACACGCTAAAATTTGTTGTTATATCTTTCATATTTGTATAAGCATATACAAGGAAAGCACATTTTAAATGCTTACTGAAAAGATAAGCTCTAAAGAATTTTTGAAAAGCATTTATTTAAACTAATGTGAGACTAGAGTTTAGTAGTGGCTAGAAAGGATGAAGTACTATAGCAAAGTTGTTTGGAGTCACCATATTGGTTCATAACGATGTGTGGCATATCTGTGAAATAAGAAAATTGTTACTGATCATGAAGTAGAGACTAAACATAAAGTGTTACTTCATGTATTCACAAAGCTCCCAATCTTAATGGGAAACTTACATTTTCAATATTAGCAGAATGAAGAATAGCAATCACCTAAGAAGAATTATTAGATATTGACAATGAATACCATCAAACTACCTGGCTGTCTTTAAGCCTAAGGCCTCTTTATACCACCATGCTAAGTTCTGCATACTGGTGCATGGGAAAATTGTGTTCCAAAGTAGTAACAAACTGTTGCTTAAAATAAACCCCAACTTTGATAAATTTGTGCTATTTTGAAACTATGTATTTATGAGTATATGCTGTCAAATGTCACTGTCAAGATGCAGATTCTTTGTAATTCACCAATTTGAACCAGACATTGCAGTGGCAGTCAGTGATGAAAGGGTCGGTTATTATAATGTCATGTCGATCAATTATCAGACATATCTGCAAGGTCAGCTACTGCAATTCAGTTTACAATCTTCACTAGAGCATATGAAATAAAGTACAACAATGACCTTGCTCCTTTGCAACCTCCGGTAGGTAGGTGGCGGTGCGTTTTGATCCTTTTTCATTGATGAATTCTATTCTAATGCCATGCACACCCACCTGAAAGAAATTGGCAGTTTTATTAGTACAGACTTCTTTATGGAAACAGAAAGAAAAGGTTATAATTTAATCTTCAACGCAATTCTTTCCCCACCCTTGTTTTTATTTATTAGTATTTTTTTCCAGAGCTGAGGACCAGACCCAGGGACTTGTGCTTGCTAGACAAGTACTCTATCACTGAGCTAAGTGTCCAATCCTTTCCCCTTGTTTTTAGAAGTATGTAGTAGTTTTCTGTTTTCCAACACTTTGATTTTGGATTGGAAGGCCAGTATAATATCCATAGAGACTGAAAAAATGCTGACTTATATATGTCCAACATATACCAGGCTATGCTTTTTTTAAAAAATAAATCTGAAACAAACTATAGGCATAGAGTAGGATAGTTAAGGGAAAGAATCCTGCCACACTTCCCAACCTGGAATAAGGAAAAGACTTCAAGGAGATAGCAAAACCCCATGCAGTCACACTCATGACTTCAGGTTATAACCCCAAACTCCCTGTACTTATGCCCTTATGTACCAAGCTTTAGTTCCTTCAAAACCTTAACTAATCTGGAGGCAAACTACCACTGTCCGATAGGTCTGAAAAAACAGTCTGGGCTGGGTGGTACACATGGAAGACAAGACAGGAGAATCTTGTATTTGAGGTCAACCCGTGCTACATGGCGAGCTCCTGGGCAGCTTGAACTATATAGTGAGACCCTGATTAAAAGAAAAGACTAAAAAGTAATGAAAACAATCAGACTGTCCATTTCATAATATGTGTCGATTTAACAGCAATAAAGACTTCCAATTACCTTTGGACAGGGCATTTTTTGTAGGGTTTTTGTTTTGTTTTGTTTTTTTGGTTTTTTCTTTTGTTTTGTTTTTTTTTGTTTTTTTTTTTTTTTTTGGTTTTTCGAGATAGGGTTTCTCTGTGTGTAGTTTTGATGCCTGTCCTAGATCTTGCTCTGTAGATCATGTTGGCCTCAAACTCACAGAGACCCGCCTGGCTCTGCCTCCCGAGGCTGGGATAACTTAAAAATTATTAAAGGTGTGCGCCATTACTGCCCGGCCATTTGTATAACATTTTAAAGTGTGAAATAAACTTTTAGTGATACCCAAAAAGAGAAGTCCATTGGCTGTAGGAAGATTGGTTGCTAATGTTTTGGTTTTTACTTTTTATTTTGTTTTGAAGCAAAACCAATGTGCTTTCCCTTTGATTAGCATATAATCAAAAGGAAGTGGTCCTTTCCCCTCATAGAATAGCACACAATGCTGAAGAGAAATTATTCAAAGTTCTTAACTTCTTTCAAGACACTGTTAATAAAAATGTAAAGTTTAGAGTAGGACCATCCTATTCTATTCTCTCATTTTTCTAGGAACCTCAGGTTAGGAGTCCCCAGGAAGAGGATAGGGCTGCCTGATGCAATGGAGGGCAGATGGAAAGGCAGGGACACACCATTCCCAGACAGACTTCTCTTTAGAGCAGATAAGTGAAGACAGGCATATGCTTTCCATGTGTGGATACATGCTAAGGTTTTAGAGGAGAAAGGTACCAGTGAGAATCTCTTTTGCTCTTTCTGCCCTTCAGCAGAAGTTTTCTAGTTTTTCAGGGAATGAAATGTCCCCTGGGGAGTGGATTTCATCCTGTCTTCATACATGTACCCTTTGAGCCTGTCAGATCTTTTGAGCAATTACTGTTTTAATTATTATTAAAGTGTGCCCCTGTGGCTATTCTATCTATTAGATATCAATATTCCCATGAATCTCCTCTTGCTAAAAATGCAACCAGGACAGCTGTTTAAAAACCATCGCAGTAAGGCCTCTCAGGCACTGTGGGATGTGACTGTGGACAGCTGAGGGGAAACATGAATGTTTAGTTATCAAATTATTTCCAGGATGAAGGGCATCTACCAGTCACCCCAAAGTATGACACAGCATTGAGGCAATAACAGATCTGACACTTTCTCTATACTAACGTCCTGATCAGTGACTCTGAAAGTTTAGTCTCTGACAGTATCAGATGCTTCATAATTTGTTTCTTCAAAATACACAGCACAGGTAATTTATGCTCTATCATTCACTGCAGTGAATTTTGAATCGTTACCTCTATTTATCAAAAATCTGTCATGTTAAAATTGAAAATAATTTTGGTGTTATTAAGATGTCTAGTCACAACTCTGAGACGGGTTCCTTATCTGCACGATGAGAGTGTGAGGCAAAGATCAGCGATATTTAACTGTCTCGGAGAGAGGAAGGGGATGAAAACATTATCGGAATTGCAGGGTTGCTCACATTTCAGCAGGGATGGTTTGTACCTCCTGACAATTGTTAACATGCTAAACTAGATAATCTCTAATAACCATGCAAGCTCTGGCAAACCACAAGCTCTGTGCCTACATATTGGGGGAAAATAATTACTTAGATGATGGGATAGTTTAGACATATAATCCTCTATAGGAACACATTCTCTTCGATGAGAATCTCTGACATTTTAAATCTCAGTAATTTAATAATTAAAAGAGGCTAAGACTAATTGTATGGTATATATGAATTGTTTCTTCAAAACCTGTTTATCTGAGATCAAAACTTGGACATGTTGAATAAAATAAAAATTACTCAACAACAGGATTGTTTATTTACTTTTTTATTGTGAAAAGGCCCAGGCATCAAATTTGATTTAAAAAAAAAAAAGCCATTTACTTTTCTGGGTTCCTATGATTTGAAGAACTGAAAGTTCCTATAAATATGGTCATTTTAAAGTAAATGCTTTGTGAGAAGCTTTCACAGGTCAGAAAGCTATTCCACAAAGCTAGAAGCCCAAACTCGGGTGACTCGTTTTTCAACTAGCAGAACAAGGAGAATGGGAATAATGTTCTCTTTGGTACTTGTTAAGCAGTGGCTTTTTTATTGTACTTGGACCACGGATGCCAACAAATAGTTACATTGAAGAAGTTAACACAGGAGAGTGGAAGCAGCCAATTCTGATCAGTCTATGGAAATCGCTGACTTTGCAACCTAAGTCTTCTTCACCAAAGTGAATGATGCCGTGGTTTGAATATGAAAAGTTCCCCCATAAGCTCCTGTACATGAACATGCGTGTCCAGCTTGTGACCTTTTAGAAGGTGGAGCCTTGCTGGAAGAAGTAATTCAGGTGGTGGGGGCGAGTAAGGCTTTATAGTTGGACCTACCTCTTGTTCTCTCTGCCTGTTTCTCAACTGTTGATGGATGCACTGGGAGAGGTGCTCGCCTCATCTCCTACCACCCTGCCTTCGGTACTACAATGGACTGTATTCCCCATGGAACTGGAAGCCAGAATAAATGCTTTCTCCCTTAAATGGCTTTTGCTGGGCTGTTTCATAACAGCTATGGTTGACTGTATATTGACTATATATCAATGAGATATGGGATCAGTTACATAGAGAACTGGGGTTCCATGAAGTAAGTGTGCTCTAAAACTATCTTAGTAACTGTCTTAGGATGGAAAAAGAGAAAGTATCTAGGTACAGAATGGCAATCAGGCAGTAATATATCCCTACCTAACTGTACCACTCTCCCCCACTCCCCCCCAAAAAAAAAAATTTAAAAAAAGGCACGTAGGCAAAACCTCGAGACTTACAAATCTAGCTTCAAGGGACTCTGCAGGTCAGTTTCAAAATGATTAGAATGTCTGAGAAAAAATGCTTTCAAGGTCCATCAGCTGCTATAATATTGTTTTAGTCAAGACTGTACTTTTGCTAAGTAGAGCTATAAATCAACTAGAATTGTAGTATATTAAATGTAGGACTTATAGCTAAGAGGATATGGAGTTAAAGGGAGCTATATCTGTATGTCGAGTGAACATTCAGACCAGTTCAACAGATTTCTATTTCATGCTAAAAAGAAAGCCATATTTATTCAGAGCCATTCCATAGCAAGTCATTTTTACTAGTGATATTATACAATCTTTCATTTTTAAACATTGTTCAGAATAATTACATATCAAGATTAATGTAAGTTATCTTGATTATTCCCTAGTTGATTACCCAGTTTGGGGTTTATGCATCCCCAAGTCTACCAGGCCTCAGTCTCCATCATCTTTTCTCTCTTGTCCATTTCTCTATTTGTTCATTCTATCAGTGAGCATGTGTGGGGAGAAAAAATACATGCAAATTAATCAATGTTGCTTCATAGTAAAAGGTTTGGTAGAAGAGATTATAACTAATGGCTGAAATGAAGCCCCGAGACTGTCTACAGATTTCATTTATCCTCATTATCTGGCCCCTTGTTAGAAACGTGGTTTCACTTAAAATTATTATTCTCTAATGCAGTGACCCTCAACATAAGAGTATTAAAAAAAAGTGCCCTCTCCCACTCCATTATAATACATGGTCCATATTATGTTCTCTACAGCTGCATAGTCAAAGCTTAATAAAGCCTCATCTATCTGTAAGGCAAGTATTAGTCCTATAATACACAGGCAGCACTACAAAAGGGTCCTGCTTTTACTGGCGAGCCTAATCGGTGAGCAGACAATCTGAACAGGTTAAAACATGAAAGAGAAGAAAAAAGGCATCTGGCTAAGAGTATAATTGCCTATAAAATGTGCTCTGGTGTTGAGTGGGCTCCATGAAACCTTTGACCACTGGGGTCTACAATTATGTCCCAAGTCCTGACCTTTGAAGCTAACTCTGCACCTGATAATATTTTGGCCAAGAATATTAATCAGTTTCCTCGGGTACTATCTTATCTCAGACAGTAGTGGCAGGGCCAGTTCCATTAACGCCCATTTCGGGACCTCATGCTTTTCCAACAGGATGGCCATGGCTCACCATAAAGTAAGTTCATCTTGAATAACATAAAGAAACATATAGCAGGAGGTCAGAGAATTAAAAGTTGCTTGGCATGCCTTTTTAGATAAAATCTTTGGGCAAAATATGCTTTGTAATTAACAACACAGTCAGTTACTGGCCATTCACAAAAGACTGACCTGCCAGGCTTAATATACCAGCACTATTGAAGTAAATGAAAGGACTCAGTTCTTAATGAGAGGAACAGGGATGTCTGGCACACTCCCAACTCTTTCAAGGCTTGCATTGCTGATGACATACATATGCATCCAGAAAGCAGCCTAGGATATTGTGGCCAGAAACAAATGCTGCACAGGACAGTCCAGGATCAGACCCAGACTCTCTTACTTCTGAGTAGAAAAACTTGATACCTCTTTTCCCTGAAAATACTACAAATCCACAGTGCTATACATTGCTCTCTCAAACTCATCACATCACAACCAATTTTCTTCCACTCTAGCTCAGCCTATCACAATAGTGACTTTTCCTAGTGAGAGAAAATTCAACATTAAAAGATGACAGTACCTCAAATGCGGGCCTACTTATTCCAAGTTTGCAATCTGGAATAATTCTTAGGGTAGAATTATTTAATCGTAGAAGCTGATACTGATCTGTATGGATCCTACTCAGTGCTTACCCCCAAACTCAGTAGTACCAAAAAAAATTAGACTGTATATTCTCTAGATCCTCCATTCAAATTCTCAGTCCTGTGGCTGGCTGCATGTCTTTACCCACCAGTTTGAGCAGAAATTCAGGAGTTCTGAAGGTGTCTTTCTGGTTAACATGACCCCTTTATAATCTGGCTAAATTACAAATTTTTAAAGTCTTGCTGAAATTTGGATTTTTTTCTTTGCTTTTTCCCTTAGTAGCTTTTGATTTGTGAATTGTAGCACTGTGACCATGAATATTTTGTCAATAAGAAAAAACACGCATGTAACTTCTCTTTAGAAGACTATAATGGAGGAAAGGTGGTGTATTAGCCCATAATCCCTAGTATGACTAACAGGCAACTTAGTGACTTAAAAATATTTTTCTCCTGAAGTGGGCCAATAAGAAGTACATCTTAGGCTGCTTTTATGTATCATCCACCCAGTTCTTAGAATACACTCAATACCTCTTGAGAAGTTTTGTAGAAAAAAAACAGGAATATAAATCAAAAGTGATAATTGATTATAAATTAATCACCTAGACATTAGTAATCTTTTGACATAGTTGAATATAAAAACTTGGCTTCATCATCTACCTCAGCTAATGGATTTTTTTTCCTGTTATGTAGCAACAACTGCAAGTATCTCCTTGAATAAAATACATATATGCTGCTATAGTCTAAAATCCCTGTAAATTAGTCACCTTAGCTTAGCAATAAATTAGTGCAGTTAGACCAGTTCTTAGCTGTTGTAGTAATTTTGATTCATGTAGGAGACTCAGACATCTTGTCTATAAAGAACACAGCCTGCCAATTTAGTCACAAAGGCCCATGAACAAAAATCACATATAGCATTTATTTTACCTAATAGCTTGACACTCTAAAGTGCCTGAACTCTCTAACAATAACCCCTATGACCTTTTAAAGAATCAGTTAAGATTTTAAATAAAGCAGTATTAATGAAGTGGTGCATTAAAAAGCTATGAAGCTGAACATATTTATATATCATTTTCAATGAAAGAAAATGCTCTTACTCAAAGGTTTACAGTGAACAAGTTATAGCTCAGAGTGTAATTATGGGGAAAATCACTTCTTTATTATGACTAATTATAATAAGCATTCAGAAAACTGAATACACTGAAGCTCCCCATGCAAAGTTCAGGCAACATACCTCTAAATAAAAGGCCCACTTTTCATCAAATCTTATAAAAATGCATTCCTACCATTCTTTAAAAAGGAAATGACAAAGGAGATGAAATTAAAAATGGGGAAACTGAAGTTATTTATATTTTTCAAAACCTAGAGCTATGAATTAATTTACTCTTCAAAGACTGGGCTACAGAGGGTATCTCTGTTCAAACCTGTTCTGTAGGAAATCTTTGCTTGGTAAGAAATTAAGAAAAATCATATTCAAGTCCTAACTGTACATTGAATATGTAACTCAATATGGGTTAGCTCAGTTTATGGAAGAGGTTTGTTTCTAAACAGCTACATGGGGGTTGAATTTATGAAAATAAATTAATCTTGAAATCACAAGGAAGACAATAAAGATACTACACTGAATCCTTCTGCAAAGCAAAGCACCACTTGTAAAATGAATAATCTCTCCCTAGTGTGACTGTTTCCCTTACATTTAAATGTAAAATGCTGACTTAAAGGAAGACATGACAGTAATAAAACAGAGGCATTAATGGCTTAGAATATTTTGTTACCCAAGAGAATTCTTTGTGAAAATCAAAAGTAGAATGCATAATTTTAAAAAATGGGCTCTTTGACAATTTTTGGCCAACATTTACATTGACAATGGCCATTTCAAAAGTTAGGGAACTCTTTTTATGATTTCTAAATAGCTGATTCATTCTCTGGATGTAAAATGAACCAGAAGCCATTTTTTTAAGGGAGTCTGCCACAGAACCACACTCTGTCAAAGAGACCTTAGTCCAACCTTTTCAACTTCCTAGTATAGAAACTGAGGTCCAGAAAGGTCACAGAACTGGGGTAGGGGCAGCTAAGAACAGAACCCAAGTCTCCTTGTTCTCAGAATTCATCACTTGAAAAAAAAATTAAATGCTGAGGATATATGCAAACTGCCGATGAAAGAACTGTTACTGAGCCTAGGCAAGCAGAAGGAAGACAGTGTGGATTCTAGGGAAGGAAACAGAAACTTCCTCCACCAAACAATACAGACAGGAAGGCAGGAGACCTGAGGATGGACTCTGTTGCCCATTCCCTAAGGGTCCAAATGAGTAATGCAAATATTTATGGACTAAATCCCCTTCTAAGAAGTTGCTTTAACTGCTTGCCTCCTCCTTAGGCTTCTTGTTCTGCACGAGGCCTTGCTGATACCCAGCAAATCCTCTGGAGATGGCCAGTAAGTGCAAAGCATCCCAATGTTCCATGGCACTGAAAACAATGCTCAAAGCAGAGCTTCGGACAAGGACTGGATTTCCATAATGGCATCTTCCACTCCATCTCAAGGTCCTTCTGAAAATAACAATGAGGTGTAATTTCCAGAGCTAGGTAGACTGATTTATTTTTGTTGTTGCTTGTCTTGTGTTCATAAAGGCAGGAATTTTAAGGCAGAAGAAAAACAGAACATAATGTGCATCATAGTTGCGGGAAAATAATCAAAGGGAAAACAGACTGTATACATGCGACTGGAAGTCATTTCACTTGGTGACTTTGTGAGTCATGCTAGCCATCTGTGTATGAATGGGGACTCTGTTTTCAGTTGTACATTAAGAGGATCTAAAAAAAATTGGAAACCTTTATGTGGGAAGGAAAGTGAAAAAGAGAATATTAGCTTCTAAAATATGGGGGGGGGGATAATGACAGTAGCCAATTTGTCTATCTCATCTGTTTATTCTCATGAAGGATGTTACAAAAGCACCCTATTATTAACTGCAACCAGACACATCAGAAATGGAACTGGGATCGCTCAAGAGGTGTGCATTAGAGGTTCTTTTGAAAATGAAGTACAGCTCTCTCTGAGTGGCAGGAGTCCTCAAGGCTCACATACAATGACAGATGCTTTATTATATTAGGGACAGAGTGAGACTAGAGACATGAGGTCTAGCTTTAATAGTCCAGGGACAGATTTTTGAATCACACAAGAATCATGCTGGCCAGCCCCATTAAGCATGGGATGATTCCATGTAAGTGTGATGTACTAATGAACCAAAAAAAAAAAAAAAAAAAGCTGTCTTCGAAGCCAGATAAGGAAGAAAAAGTCCCCAAGTTTGTGCAAGCATCATTAATCTATCTAAATATGATTTGAGCTTCCACTTTAGGATACGTTAGAGAACATTTGTTCTTCATGCCTTTAAATGCTCTTCCCTCTAAAGCTCAGAAGTAAAAATGCCTGATTATAATTTAGAAAATATTTTGACTTCTGTCAGTGATGTGCTTCTGCATTACATCCCAACAAAATCACAGTTAGGATGTATGCCACACAACTTCTACAAACACAAAGCCTATTCACTTAGAATATCCTGAAAATGAGCGGCTGCGGTGACTATCCTGAGAGTCAACCTGCCAAACTCTGCCCGGTGTCATTTGTCTTACAACCTTTCATACTGTTTGAAAGGGCAACATGACTTCCGAACAGTGGAACTATACTAGTTTCAGGCTACGTGTCATTTTGGAAGGTTCCGACATGCTATGTGCGGTTCTCTTTCTTTCTAAAGTGCCGTGTCTGTCAATCATCCTGTCATTTAGAATTAGCATAATGCTGTCAATGGAAGAACACAGAGCAGTGGTGGTGATAAGTTTTTATGTTCAAACACAAGAGAGACTGTGTTAGAATTCTCCCTGGGGGAGTAATTTTTCTCATTTAACAATCATTTTAGCCTTGCAGGTGGATATGACAACACATCAGTTAATGAATATTTTCCCCCAAATTACTCATTTTTCATACCTTTAAAAGATCCCTTTAATAAGGGATTCTACTGAAGTAATGCACTTCATCAGCAGCCCTATTCCAACTTCTGCTTATTTCAAATGTACTCTCTTATTTTTTTAACTTTAAATTCTCTACTATAATTCTTTAATAATTTTGTTTTCCCCTATGGCATAAGCACATGCAGGACTCTGCATCTCATGTTAAAATTAAACACAGAAAATAGGGTATTTTATTCTGGGGAAAGAGTTCAAATTACTTGACAGTGTGAAATTTCTCCAAGAGAAGGCTATAGCTTTCATAATATAGTTTGACTTCTCCAAATAAAAGATCAAAAATACATAATTAACTAATATGCAAGGATAAGCCATAAGGCCATCTTCATAATTTTCTTTTACATAATAATCACATATATAACTAGGCATATAAATGTACTGCTACACAAAGAATGTAAAGAAACATAGTTCAGGATACCCAAGTCTAGTGACAAGAGAAATTTACATATTTAGTACAGATGTAATGTTTTCCAAACATTTTCAGTCTATAGCTGGCTAGATCTGTGCTTATAGAGCCCACAGATGCTACTAAGGCCTTGACTGTATTAAAAAAATGAAATGGTGAGATTATAAGGAACTTATTTTTCTTTATATTCTAAATTTTTTTTAGCGTTTTCTTCAGGAAGTCAAAATTACTAAAGATTGTGTGTGTGTGTGTGTGTGTGTGCACCTTAGTAAAATTTATTTTACTATTTTCGTTTTGGTAAAATACAAATAAAATGTACCATTTTAATAGCTTTTGTTTTTATCTTTTCATAATTTTAAAAGCATGTAATTCAGTGACATTAAATGTATTTCTCCTCTCAGATAACCACCACTGATCTAGAACTTCCCCACTGTAATGGAAATGCTGTGCCCACTAAGCAGTTACTTCCCATCCACCCTTTTTCCACGGCCTGACAACCATTAATCCAATAATCTCCTATAAGGCTGCCTATTCTGGACATTTCATACAAATGGAATCATACAACGTGTGGCCTATTGTGTCTGGTTTCTTTCATTTAGCATGATGTTTCTGAGGTTCATCCATGCTATATCATGGATTATGGCTGATATGGATATACTATTGATAACCAACAGTTGGGTTTTCACTTTGTGGTTATTGTAAAAAGTACTGCTATGAGCATTCTTATTTAAGGTTTTGTTTCAATATCTTTCTTATATTAATTTGGGCATATATCTAGAAATGGAACTGTATCAGCCTATAATTAAAAATATTTTTACTTCCACTTTGACACCCTGTTTAAAGCAGCAATGGTTTTCATAATTAGCAGAGGCAACCTTTAGACTATCCTTCCCAAAAGAATAGCATTCTATTTTTAACCACAATAGTACACTTAAAACCAACTCACATTTCTTAGTTAAAAAACTAACTGTTACTTTTTGAGAATATACTTCTTGCAAGGTTCCAGTGCCTTACTTGAAACAGCGATGAAATAACAGAGAGAGACAGTCTTTCCCTCCTAGCACAGCCATTCTAGCAGTGTGTAATTCCCTTTCAAATGCTGATATACTAAAAGTACAAAGCCCTGGGTGTTGTTTGAATTTGACAAGAGAATGTTACATAATAAGACGGGGATTCACGCTCCCAAACAGCAAGTCGAGGGAATATAGAACCCTGTAGAAATTCAAGCTGGCAGACAGTGACCACAAAAGACAAATAGCACTTGACAGAATACATAGTGCTACTATTTCAAGTGCTGTACTTCCTATCCACCTAGTAGAACATGAAAGCCACACAGCAAGGTGAAGTTTTGCTGTTGAGAGCTCTTGATGTGAACTAAAGGGGATGTTATTAACTCTGCCTATTTATACCTATTCATCAGTTGCTGGGGTCTCAAATTTTTCTTTCCCATGAAACATACATACATTTACTCACTGTGTATACATGAACAAAACGTATTCATGTGTTTATACATGCTCAAACCATATTTTCAACTCAGTGGCAGCAAGCAAGGGTAAAAGGGCTTCTGTAGCTTGGTCATCCAAGAGAAAAGCAAGCAACAGTCCCCCAATAGTAAAAATAACCATCTAGATTATATGTCCATCAGTGGGGACATGAATGGGAGCCATTACATAAAAACTACTGGGAGATGGTTCCATAATATTGGTAAACTTCTCTTAAAAAAAAATCCAAATAGGCCTGGTGTGATGGAGCACACATGAAATCCTGCTACTCAGGAAGCAGACAGTAAGAGATCTTGAGTTCAAGGGCAGCCTGGGCAACATGGTTGCAAACAAACATAAAGGCTGACAGAGGAAAAGAAGAGAGGGAGGGAAGGAGGAAGGGAGGGGACATCAAATAGGAATGTTAAACTTCAACAATAAAGAAGGAAATTTTAGTTCTATAAAGGGTTGACACTTTTCAAATTTTCTAATATGTTACTAGATTTTTTCATTTCTTCCTTTATAAAGGTTATACAATGCTTTCATATTCTGATAATGACACAAAAAGCCTGTAACAAAACCTAGAAGGGATACTTTCATCCTCTTCTGTGCAAAATGTTATAAAATAGCTCTGGTGTCCCCCAAATAATTCATATCCAAGATCTTCTGAGATGATTCTCCAGAATATTATTCTGTACACAGAGTAGTGACCTGCAGTGGAGTAAACCATCTGTAGTCTCCCGAGGAATCATAGAAAAACCAAAAATAAAATTCAAGTCCAGTTAACTAGGAGGACAAGGATCTGGTTACAAGGCAGTCTCGGCAACACTGGGAATGATTCTTCGAGACAACAGTAGAAGGAAAAGCTCTTCTAAGGATGCAGTGGTTCTGTTTCTAAGCGGCATGTGAGAGGATGCTATTTATCAACACATTGCCCTTGTTTTGTTCTTCTACCACTAGTTTCTTCCTACCCTGCATATAAATTTCTCGCTGCATCCTGGTAGAGACCCTATCTTGTCATTTCTGTACATGGAGAACACTGCCTGGAACACAGTTGCTATTCAGGAATACAGGCATGACCTCCACTCAACTATTTCAACTGCCAAAGAAAATCACCATGAGAACCTCTGAATCCCACATAGTAGAGAAGAAAAATATAAGTAATATAGGTTTCTCTCCTAATGACAAGGCACAGACATACTCTAGGTAGAAGAACAGTATTCTCAGTGTAATTTCAAGTGTGTGTATTAATGTAGCTAAGAATGAACTCACACTTTTTTTTTTTTCGAGACAGGGTTTCTCTGTGTAGCATTGGCACCTATCCTGGAACTTACTCTGTAGCCCAGGCTGGCCTTGAACTCACAGAGATCCGCCCGCCTCTGCCTCCCGAGTGCTGGGATTAAAGGCGTGCGCCACCACCGCCCAGCTGAACTCACACTATTGAATTCTAGCTCCTGTCACAAACTGCTTTCCCCCAAGTGGTATATTTTGCTAACTCTTGCTGCTTCTTCCTGATATGTGTATTCTGACTGCCTAATCATTCAGTGGTGGTTACAGCACACCACCCTGGAGTGGAAATACAAGGAGAAATAGATTCCAGCTAGTCTTTCTCACTACTTATTAACAGCCTTATTGGGTACTTAAGTGATGTAGGAGAACAAAAGTAACACCACATTCAACTGGAGATTTTAACCCCACAGGATATTTGGCCATTAAAAAAAATCCTCCAGCCCTGTGGTGGTGATGCACACCTTTAATCCCAGCACTCGGGAGGCAGAGGCAGGTGGATCTCTGTGAGTTCGAGGCCAGCCTGGCCTACACAGTGAGTTCCAGGACAGGTGCAAAGCTACACAGAGAAACTGTCCCAAAAAGCAAAAAAAAAAGAAAAAAAAAGAAAAACAAACAAACAAAAAACCTTCACTCATATCTCATTGTTCAATGGGGAGCTTTATTTCAGTGTTAGAATGGACAGGAAGCCTTATATTCTGGGCTCAGTTGGTAGCATCTACTCAGGAATTACCGTCATGTAAAGTATCTTATAATCTTACCTCCCAATCCAAATAGTCACAGACATCCTCAAAGTTAGTGAGCAGAGACACCGAACAGAAAAGTCGTGGCAGCTCATCCCTTGTCATTGGTGGAAAACGGCTGTCTTTAAGGGCACTGTGGAAGACAGAGCAGAGATTAAAGCCATCCATTGATACGAAGGTTCCTAAGCTCAAATACTGACCATCATTTGAAATAGGTAAATAATTAAGAATCGGAAATGTATCAAAGGTGCAAGTGACTGTCCAAGGCATTTTCAGAAACCTAGAGATTTTAGAAGTCACTATTTTTCATTGAATAGATTCTGTTTACTGGCTAATCCTGTGGCTACTCCACTGTAAAGAATGAATGTTCAATTCACTCTCCCAAGCAATTTTTGATGTCTCTCCATGTTATTTTTAAAAGCAGAACATGCTTTATTTTACAGCTGGAGGAGTAGAAACATGCTGGAAGGCCTCTGAATCAATGATTGGGAGAGAAAATGTATATATGATCACACATAGCTCTCTTTCTATATAGAAAATCACACTGTAAACCTAAAAAAGTTAATACAAGCTGCAACAGTTACCACAGAACATTAAATAACTCAAAAAGATGAATTTTTTTCATCAAGGAAATAAAATCAAAGAAAATGAAAATAATCATTCAAATCATAGACTAAAACCACAAGGATTTCATGTACCTACTAAAGGACAACTGAAGACAGGACTCAAAAACCGTGGAACTACAAGAAAGAGGGCTCATCTGTGCGACAGAGGTCTGATTAGGAGATTGCGAGGTCATTAATCCCACCAGTGGAGTTCTGAGTTTCTGCATACATCAACTCTGATTAGACCCTTTAATCACACTCCCCTGTGCCAAACTCTAGAGACCCTTGTAAAGGATAAAAATGGTCTTCTTCCAAGAGTAGAAGAGATAAATCAATGGTGCCCCTCCCACACACCACCTTACTTTCTCTCTGCCTCACACACACACACAAACACACACACCATGTTCCTTGTACTTTGTAAAGAAATCATTTCCTGGTCAAGCAGAACACACCTCTGATTGTCTAACACATAAATGCAACTGTTGACACAGCATCCATAATCAAACAGCCGAGGTAGCAGCCAGGCATAGAACACGTTTTCACTGTTTCCTTCTCACAGATTACAAACTCAGAAACATAACAAAGTCCCACAGCCTTTGGAAATAACTGAATTCTCTTTTAAGTGACTCATTCCCAAATCCACTATTCTTCCACTTTTGTATTTTTGAAACAGGCTCTTGTATGTACTTTTTTTTTTTTTACTTTTCCCTCCCTTCTTGACATTCTAAAACTCACTGCATTTATATTTTCAGTGATTCTGGTACTACTGCCATCCCACTATACAAAAGAAAATGCTCTTAGGAAGATACAGATGTAAAAATTTATAAAGAACAAATGTTCGTGTCATTCAAGAGGCCGCGATCAACCAAGAAAACCAGGAAATTACAAACTCATACTCTGAAGGCAGCGTCTCACTATTTTACAATTTAACAACATAAGTTTCCTATGGTTTGGCTTTATTTTCCTCCTGACAAATAAAATTCTTAAAAACACTCTCAAGCTCTCATCCAAAGGCAAGCTGAAGACACACTTATATTTAACCAGCTCTTTTGCACACAAATACTGGAACCAAATGCTAACACATTGTGTAGAAGTGTCCCTGGCATAATTAAAAGGCCAATCCCATGTTTTAGTTTTCCTGTTAAAAAGAACCAAAAGAAAGAAAAAGCCCTTTATACATTAGAATCATGTGAAATACAAATTTTGTAGTTAGGGAGTGGGTTTTACTGTGGTAAAATATGCATAAAACAACATTTTAATCATTTTAAATAGCTCTATTTGGGGAGAATAAGTATATTCACAGCCATTACCACCATCTATCCCCAGAAATCCAGAGGTTCCCCAAGTGAAACACTATACCAATTAAACACTAACCTCCCATTCCTCTCTTGCCTCCAGTTCCTGGCATAAAATATAAATTAAGTATACTTTGATTTCAAATAGTTGTGCTAAAATACACTTACTATTGCTTTTATTACAGTAGTCACATAGCACTAAATTCACCCATTTAAAGTACACAATTTGATGAGTTTTAATATAGTCAGAGTTGTACAGTTATCAGTCTTACTCAATATTAGAGTATTCTATAACTTCATAAAGAAATTCTGTATTTGTCAGCAATGAATCCAAGTTTTCCCTATTCCCACTTTCCTGGTAATTATAAATCTACTTTTTGCCTTCATGGATTTGCCTATTCTGGCCATTTTATGCATGTAGATTTAGACTTACAAAAAAGTAAAAATATTTAAAAATAAAAATATTGCCTTTTGTGTTTGGCTTCTCTCATAATGTTTCGGGGATTTCATCTGTGCAGCAGCACTTTATCCCTTCTATTATCTAATAATGTTTCATTATATAAATAAACCGTATTTTGTTTTTATTCATGGATGGATGGATATTTAGACCTTTTCCTTTTTGCTATGCATTATGAATTATGCTGCTGTGAATATCTACATAATTTTTAGTAAGGGCATAATTTTTCATTTCTTTTGGATACATACCTACGAGGAGAATTACTGGTCATTAAGGTAATTCTGTTGAGCTGGAGAGACGGCTCAGCAGTTAAGAGCACTGTGTACTCTTGCTAGAAAACAAGTGTTTGATTACCAGCACCTATCTGACAGCTCACAACCACATGTAACTCCGGTTCCAGGGGATCCAATGAATGCCCTCTTCTGAACTCTAAAGGGCACAAGGCACACATGTGGTGCTTAGACATACATGCAAGGAAAATACTTACATCAAATAAGCAACTCTTTAAAATAAAAAAAAAAAGTATGTCTGTCTTTAACTTTGTGTGGAACTGGAGTTGTCCCCAAAACAGGCTGAATAATTGTACATTCCCACCTGCAATATATTAAGGCTCCCATGTGTTTACATCCTCAACAACGCTTGTTGTCATCTGCTGTGTGTTTTTGTTATTTTGTATAATTCGGGGCCTGCTTTAAGGAAGATACATTTTTGCATTCAGCTCTATCTTTTTACTAAAAAACAATGCATGTGATGCAGTTATCATATAGTTAATGTCTCAATACTTTGTGGTAAGTTACGTTGTGTGCCGTATTTCCTAAACTGACCAATGACAGCGTAATTCAAGCCCACTAAAATTCAATCTATTTCAAATGGATGAATATTTCAAGTACCTAAAATGGAACAAGTTTTTCTCATGCTGTGGAGCCTTGCTGTTCAGTCACTCTAGAACTTAAGGGAAAAAAAGTATTTAGAACAATGAGTGAGTCATGATGGAAATTGTCTGATTGTATCAAAGAATTCAAACAAAAATTTTGGTATTCGCATTTTTCTTCCATCTCCAAGTAACTTTTTGTTAAACTTGTGAGCCGAGAAACATCAATGGATCTCAATGCAAATTCCTAGAGAAATACACTGGCAATGAAAGCCTAGCAAGGATTTAAGGGATCCTAAAGAGATAAAAATTCAGCTGGAGACTCACCTCCAAGCTGCCAAGCCAGTGTGGATAACTGATACACAAGAGAATTCAGCTTATCTCAACCAAGCTCTTTTTAGAATACACCATACACACTGTTAAACCTAGGGCTTTGGAGAGGATGCTGCATTTTGAAGTCAGGCAATGACTTTTATGAGGTGACCCAGCTAAGCCAAAAATTGAAGTATGTCTATAACCCAGATTTTTAGGCTCAAGTCCAAAAATTAGTATTCACACATTAGTCTTCACCTTTGAATAGATTATACTTTAAAATTTGAAAATGAAATACTTGTCTTACTTGGCATTTTGATCTCAAACCTGTAGTGTCTCTGCCTAAAAGAAGATATGTAATCATTCAGTAGCATTCCTTAAGTAGTCAAATGGAAAGCATTCCTAGACTTCTTGGCTACTGGAAATCTGCAAGAATAAATTAGTAATATTGTCCACTAAAAATATTTTCTACCCAACAAGTATCTGCCAATTGAAATTCTAGGGAGTTTAAGAAGCTGACAGGGGGATCTTGTAGTAAACTGATCATGAAATTTCTCTTTGAAATGATAGGAAGCCATTTTCAAATGTTTAAATAGTACTAGGGAAAATAACCAAAACGTTTATGCACAAAATCAGCTGGCTGCTCCATCAACCATATGATGGACAGGAAAGGTTTAAACATAATTTAGTTCACATACCAAATTCAAATGCATTCAGTTCAATCTGGCACCTTCCCAAGTAGACATTTCACCTAATTGAGAAACAGCATTAACATCTGTCAAAGTTAATATCTAATGTTAAATGGCACTCCAATGAATATATTAAGAAAATAAGACTTCAGCTATTGAGGAATCAAGTTTTGTGAGAGTAGCTGCTGAAAAGAAAGTAAACATAGCTGGAAGGAGCCACAACATTAGCTACTACAGGGCTCATCCTAAACAATATTATTACCTGCAACAGAAATGACGGAAGTGCACCTGTCGCGCTTCCTGAAACAGAGCCCATTAATCAGTTAAGTAGTGGGAAGTTACCAAAGTGACAGGGCTTCCCATTACAGACAATCACTTTAAAGCACAAATAATTAAATCCACAATTAAGCACTGCTATTGGAATAGATAAAGAGAAATGAATGAAGTGTGCATGATTTTTTTTTTTAAATCTTGCTGAAAAGTTTAAACCATTAGGAAATTGCTTGTTCTGCCATTCCTAGGCATCAGGACCCCAGGACCAGAATGCTCATGTGGTACATTTGTACCACACAAACTTAGAAAACTAGAATCTTAAACCCACATCTGAAAATTTATACACCACTTATCTTTCTTATTGAATAGTGTATTTTAGCTTTTACAAATTTGAGAAACAATGGGACACAATCCAAAATTCAAGCATGTAACTCTTGTTCAAACTTAAGCATACTGCTGGCAGGGGAGAAGAAAGAGACCCCGGTTTTGGTAAGGGCTGTGCAGGGCAAGGAAATTTCCAACTCTGTCATAGGTACACTGTTGCCTGACTGCGAAGTGTTATTTCTTTAACAGTTATACAGGCAACTTACTTGCTGCTAAAGAAACATTTCTGTTGGTAAATTTTGATGTC